GCCAACGGATAAAAACGATATCCGTTGGGGTCATATGCGGATAGAGATGCAAATATCAAAGGTCAAGTAGGGACTACTTCCAGTGTTATAAACAAACATGGCGTCGCCCTTGTCATTCGGCAATCGAGTCAGAATTAACCATCGGGAATCTGGATAAACTACAGAGATAATTGCCATCATTATCAAAAGAACAGTCTAATATACTTAAAATCAGTGTCGTCGCTAAGACATTTTATAATTTGGGGCATCTTTGGAGATGTAAATTTCGAAAAAGATTTGCGAGGGCTCTAGGCCTAGCCAAGCGGGATCAGTAGCCATATCTGTGCTTGTAGACCTCTGCGTCTTGAAACCTTTTCCACAAATTAAAATAGTTGGATTTGGCCGAAATATGTTTTAATTGTTACCTTCTTTCGTTTTGTCGCTGTGTGTACATCTGATTGCACTTCTTAACGTTTTGATAGGACAGGCCGACAGTCAACAACGTCTGAACGTGGCCATGACCTCTCATAGACTAGGGTTAGAGTAGCTTCCCTTTGACAAAGGGCAGTTACTCTAGCGGACAGACCGATGGATTGCCGCGAAATGCAAGTAAAAACAATTGTTGTTTTGCGTATATGTTGCTTCGCCACTGTATAAGAAACAGATTTCAGTTGGAATTATATTGGCTACTGTCACTGTCCGACTGACACATCACTTACCCTGTGACGTAGTAAATACTAATACGCGCATTCCAGGAAAACTCGCAATTTTAGGTAATGTTTGTGAGAGAGGGAGAGCGATTAAAGAATGACATTATATGATAAAGAGGTTATCACGCTTGTGTGTTTGAGGATATTTACCATCCTCAAACACACAAGCGTGATAACCTCTATGTATTTACTTAAATGCGTTTATCAACACATGTATAACGCTTATTCACCCTTGGTGTGGCAGATTGAAATTGAACATTATGATAGCGTCCGCAGGTATTATTGGGGTCATAGCACATGCCTTTAGTTGCTTGTGAAGATCATAGATAAGTATATTTAAGTTACATGGCAGCAGAGTAGATTATTATATTGTGTTAAAAAAAACGTAGATTATTAACACACTTATTTTTGTACAATCTAACAAACTAGAATTTAAAGACATTTGGCTATTATGATGACATCTAGGTAAGAATTCATATCTATTGCTAAAATCCACGAGCATAAGTTTGGTGCTGTCAAACCTAAAAACATAATCAGGGCGGCCAGTTTTGACTTACACTTGGCCCCACAAGATAAAAATGAGAGCTGTCTCTCGCACGGTTATGGGTGATGATGTATTTGATAATATTACTGGGGAATGTTTAAATTAGTTAATGCCATTTACTCCAACGTTCTGTCAGTCGTCTCAACAAAAACATGACTTTGGTCACATACTCACTGTATGTAGTTGTATTTAGTTGTTAATCGGTGACATTCATTATACTGCGGTCCGAATTTATCAGCATATGCATCTCGTGTTGTAAGCTTAACTGATTTGTTTACACAATACAAATTCTAGTTGATAATGAACTACTGAGGTATTCAAACACATGTATTATTAGAACATATACATTTAAACTTACTCACAGACAGTATATATTTGGCGAGAGAGTAGGACAATTCCCAGCTCGGACAATACCTCACACTGATATTTCCCCACACTGAATATTTGTTTAATCTATAATACAGTTATATTTACAATTTGACAAACTATAATTATAGGAATATTAAAATTCATAATGACTTGTCAATTCAGCGATAAGTTGTCACAGATAAACGCTGATTCTAACAAAGCATCCTCGTCTGAGACACAGACAGACAAACAACAATTTTTATTCACAGATGTTTGTCCTCACCTTGCCACCACACCGAAGGAGGGGACTAACAGTTTCTGCCTAAAACGCTCACAGTAGTTTGTGAGTGAACTCAACTGAGGATTTTACGAGTATCCACCAAAACCACTTAACAAGTAATCATTGAGAATGGTATAAATATACTGGGAACTTCATTAAAATGGCAAATGCACCTTGGATTGTCTTGTTCATTCCCAACAATCGTGGTGGCCGTAGTCCCGTATATCAAGGTTTTTAAGTACCGAGTGAAACGAAGACGCGTCGTCCACATACACTGGAAATGCTGAATACTGCATGTCCAGGCTCCGCCAACACCTCAAATGATCCTATCACGACCACGAACCTTGCGCATAACCTTTGTTGTTGTTGTTGTTGTTGCAATTTCGGCTGACCTGTGCCTCTTTGGTGTGTGCGTGGGGTACACATATACGTCATCATGAAAATTTGTACCCCGTTTGGTCCTGTTAAAAAAACATAAATAAAACTTGAAAATTCAAACTCTTAGTGATTTAACAAGAAACATCTAAACTTAACAAACAGTTGGTAAAATTATGCCAACACAAACAAACATAATTTTGAAATATGACAAATATACTGGAGAATCAGTGGAAATCTATCATCCTTGGTGTAACCATTATAGTTACCGATCTTTTGCAGAGATAAAAAATAGATACCATATTTCTTTTGCTGTATTATTGTAAAACTAATATTCAGTTCTGCTTAGAAAAGAAAAAGAATCTCAGTTTAATATCACCACGTTTTAAACATTAAGTGATTTCAAGGGACCTAAGTTCGGGTGTTTTCATAAATTTAAGTGTTTATGTGAGTTAGAGATGTAATTACAATGGCACAAGACATGTTTTACCCATTAACCCTATCTTCACAGTTATCACTTGCTGACTTGTGATAACACCAAGGACATAATAAGTAATACTAAAAACATTTAGCTTCATCTAACCCTAAGTTAGAATGTTTTTTTTATAATAATACAAATTTAAGTGTTAATATGATTAAAGAGTTGTAATTCCAATGTCACAAGACATGTCTAACCATTGCCCATTCTAAGTTGATAATTGCTGACTTGTGGTAACACCAAGGACATATTAAATTACACCAAGGTCATTTTGTCATGATTTAGGTTACACCAAGGACAGTTACACCCAAGACATATTTGCATTCAATATGAAATAAAAATACAACTGACTGCTCCCTGTACAGTAGCCGACAACAGTCATTACAAGTGCAACTCTTCTATAATGCATGTAAGGATGTTTTGTAAATGAAATAGTTTTCTTTATAAAAAAAGTTACACCAAGGACATTGAACTTTCATATGGTGATGCTTGGTGTTACCTTTTTCCAGTTTGAATAACCTTACTTCAGTTGACTCAAAAACAATTTTCTCCTTGGAAGACAGGAATTGATATGATAAGAGAGCATTGAATTTCATTTACCTTCTTTCTATTTAAAGATAGATAAATCTTACACCTAATTAAACAAATGGTTACACCAAGGACAGGAACCTTTTAGACAGGCATGCTTTGGTTATTTTTCATTATTTAAAGATAGAAACATAGAGGAAACTGATGTTTATTTTAAAGATTCTAATCCCATTAGTAAAATAACATGTATATGACATAAAATCTGAAATATGTTCTGATGTTAATGTTTCTAATTGTAGTGCTTCTAGTAAAGTGTCTGTTGCTACACCTGTGGCTAGCATTAGGGCTTTGTATTGTATTCTGTCGAGGTGTCTCAAGACAGTATTTGATGCTGAGTGAAAGGCCTCACAACCATAGTCTATTTTTGATTTGATGAGTGATTTGTTGAGGCTTTTTAAAGGGATGGACTTATAATGCTGCCTTGTAGCGTACCATTGTCCAATGACAAAGGATCAGATTGATTGTTCCTTTTTTAGCTGATAGCGACCTGTCCTGCACGAAGCTGTCTATGAAGTTTGCTATGTTCCCTTCTACTCCATTGCGTGTTAGTTGTGTGAAGGAGTTCGTTATAAATCACCATGTTGAAGGCTGTCGATAACCATTGTCATGACATTGTCCATTTTATATCATTGATCTGTGGAAATGTAAAGCCAATAAAATAAATGAGACGCTGTCTATCACTCAATCAGCAGGAGAAGCAACCCAGACAGGGAATGCATGAACCGGTTGAGTGACTTCTTTCTATCAGCGTGACAGGGTACCCAGAGAGACAGAAAGCATAAAAAATCCTAAAGATAGCCTATCTACATGGTATAATTATCCACAAACAATTTCCTCTGATAATAAACTCATACCTTTGATATCCCCAAGGAGCAATAAATCAGAGACCCTAGTGCGATTCTGTCTACGTGGTAACACCGGGTGATTATTCATTTCCAATATTCTCATGTAATTAAATGTGTTTGCAGTGGAGACACGTATTCTCAGAAATTACTGTGGTTAGCTCAGAGATATACTTATCAAGACTGAGTTATTTATTCCAGAGAAGGGGCTTTTGTATGTATGAATTTCACATTTCAGGTTTTTTTTCTGATGACATAAAGCAGCACAAGAGCCTACCTCTTCTTAAGGCATTATAATACTCTTTTCATGGTTTATGTTCACATGTATAAGAACAAACAAAGTTATAATGTGATAATGCTGTTTTCTCGTTAAATATATAGTATATATTAGTGTCACAATCTTTTTCCATATCTAACATACATAGTATACATTATTTGATAGCATACAGGACACGTCTATTGCATGATAGTATTTAATATGACTACTCTTACAAACTCTGAATGGCTCCAATTCAAAACAATTGTCACCACAGTTATTTAATGAGAGTGATGCTCGACAAAATTTGAATGTAATGCTTCTGTTGAAAATAAACTAAGTATGTCGCTCATGGGAGCTGTTTTGATCTATGTTCAACTCCATTTTCTTGTTTTGCACCACGCTGTGCTATTTGATCTGTTTACGAAAACTGTTTACCTGTGCATGAAATCATGCTAATACGCTCATAGCTATGCATAACTCACACTTTTTAGTCCCTTTATATGGCCTAGTTTAATGGTGCAAATTAAAAAGAGGTTCTTGATTCGAATAAAGTAGGTTAAAGTTTGTTCTATTAGGTTCTATAAAAGGAGAGAAATGCGCAGTTTTCAACATATCTCTATCTTGTCTGCAAACTGGTAAGTATCAGCTATGTTATATTCATCCTCCTAATTCATAAAATACACCCCTGTGAATGCCTGCCAGAAATGGAGCTTGTCATATGTGTATTGCCACATCACGTTCTTATAGGCGCCGCAAGTTTCTAAGCAGATTTGACTTCCCATTTAATTCCGACAAAATGACATATTTAATTTTCTTATTACCATGCATGTGAAGTTCATCTTAGTGGTAACCGTCTATGTTTTGCACCATTGTGGATTTTCCATATAATTGCTTACATGCGGCAATGTTGTGATATAACTACAGGAGTATGTGCATTGTTGTTGAAGTTATAACTTCTATGCACAGGAAAAGACGTTAAAAGATGCTACTTGTTGTTACCCTGTCTGGCGCTCGGCATTTAAGGGGCTCAAACAAGGACTGGTCGGCTCGGAGTCAGTATACTGTGTCTGAGTGGGGTATTCATGTTAAACTGCGGCATGGTATCTCAGTGAGCTAGCCCTATCAATCGGCATCAGTCCGGACAAGTACAAGCAGCCACACAAACACACACACGTACATGCACGTCGCTATATAAGTGCAATGATCTTGGACGCGACGTTAAACCCCATTTCACCTCACCTCACCTCACACTGCACCATGCACTGCAAGATGACCCTGGAAGGACCTCAAGTCAAATATGCCAAAAGCCATGAAGTCAGAATGTTTGGTAACTGTAGGTTTTCCAAAAAAAGACCGAGATGCTCATGTGCAATTTCAGAGGAATAAGTTGTGTTTAATGACGTGCAAGAATACACTGAATCACTATCAACGGAAACTACAACACAACTTTCCTTCTTATTAATGGAAACGTGAATACCAAACCAAACCGTTATTTCTCATTATAGGTACATTAGGGGACGAGTATAGAATGCTTATCATACCCAAATATTCCCTTTTGTCACCAAATGTGTTGTTTTGTTAATGATAACTTTTCGTTTCTTTTAGTGAAAATCAGGATGAAACATCTGTTTGCTGTAGTGTTGGTCGCATTGGTGTTGGCTGTTGCACAGGCCTCCTATCAGCATGGAAAGGGTTATCGTGGTTATAACAAATATGACTACCCCACCCAGAAGTATGAATATGGCAGATATGATTACCCCAACGGGAAGTATGACTACGGTTACAACAAATATGATAACCCCAACGGGAGGTATGACTATGGCAAATATGAGAACCCCTACAAGAAGTACTACTAGGTATGTATCAAATTATGTGTCATTTCTGACGTTTAACGTTTATTCAGTGGAATCAGTGAGTGATATCAAACTTCCATAAAGGTACCCTTTTATCATGGTATGGGGGGACTGTCTGCGTAGTTTTGTGGCTAGAACGTCTACACGGAGAGGGGAACGTCAGTTGTTCGATCCTCTGGCCGCGTCACACCAACATACGTTAACCTGTTGCTTCCCTACCTTGTGTTCGGCATTTGTGCTGGCTTTCGGGTTGATCAGCTCGTCTCAGGGTATAGTCCACACTAATACCCATTTTAATGTGCTAGCCTACTGAGATACCATGTCGCAGTTTTCGCATGAATCACTTAGACACAGTATACTGAATGTTAGCCCACCAGTCCTTGCTTTATCGACCCGTGAACATTCCAGGGTAGAATAGGTCTTCAGCAACCCATGCTTGCCGTAAAAGGTGACTATGCTTGTCGTAAAAGGCGACTGACGGGATCGGGTGGTCATGCTCGCTGACTTGGTTGATGCATGTCATTAATCCCACATGCGTGGATCGATGCTCATGATATTAATCACTGGATTGTCTGGTCCAGACTCGATTATTTACAGACCGCCGTCATATAGCTGGAATATTGCTGAGTGCGGCGTTAAACAACAAACCAACCAACCAACCTTGCTTTATCCCCTTAATGTGAGGTGAGGTGAGGTGAAATGGGGTTTAACGTCGCGTCCAAGACTATTGCACTTATATAGCGACGTGCATGCACGTGTAAGTATGTGTGTGGCTGCTTGTACTAGTCCGCACTGATGCCGATTGATAGGGCTAGCTCACTGAGATACCATGCCGCAGTTTAACATGAATACCAAACTCAGACAAAGTATACTTACTCCGAGCCGACCAGTCCTTGTTTTAGCCCCTTAATGCCGAGCGCCAGACAGGGTAACAACAAGTACCGTCTTTTAACGTCTTTTGGTATGACGTGGTCGGGGATCGAACCCCGGACCTCCCGCTCTCCGGACGGACACTCTACCATTAGACCACGGAGGCGGTCTATCCCCTTAATGACATGCACCAGGCATTGTAACAACATGGTTTGAACCGACGACCTTCCTCTCTCCGGGCAGACGCCCTGTTCAATTGACCACGGCGGCGGTTGAGCACTTCAAATTTATTGTGCATGTCGCAAAATAAAATACGCTGTTAAAACTCTTTCAATTACCTTGTTACTTCACACGTCTTTTTTAATTACGCCAACTATCATTTTGTTATGTTCTTATGTTATATTTTAAATTGATATTTGAACCTACATTTTATATTGTGTCTTATTTTCTAAGGTTAACATACATTTTATATTTCGAGAGAGAGATGTTCTGTGAGTTTTGATCTGTTGTCAATATCCAGCAAGCACCTAGAAATCTACGACATTGTATCCGTATATATAGGCTATAAATTATACTGGCAGGTAGCAATTAATCAAAACATAAAATCCTTAGTTAGAAACTGAGTGTTAGGGTGCATGTTTAAAGACTGCTATGATATCAAACATCACTGAACTGTGCAGCGTGCATTCTCTTTATTGCCTACATCAGAAAATCGGCGATACACGAGACGTCACCCAGATATGGACATAAAGTATATACCTCTTCTTATTTTTCAGTGTTCTTCATTGAAGGAATGTACATGCTGAAGAATATCCGATGAACAATAAATCACCACAGCATTTATCCGTTTTCAGTTGTCTCTATGATTAGGTGCACGCTTACCATTCACATGTTTACCATTAATTTGGATATATGGAATTGGAATGGCCCTTCAATGTAAGACAAGGCATTTGCGTCCACGACGTCCACATGTCATCTCACAACTTCATTTAACTTAGAGTAACTAAGCTAATACTTAACGCAATATTTCAGCCATATCGTGACGAGAAGTTATATAGAAATTACTACACGAGTGTCCGTCAGATACCATTGATCTTACAACGAGTTGTTTCAAAATATCCAGCTGTTACTCTTTGTAACAACATATTGGAACATCAATGGTATCTGACAGGTACGAGTGTAGTAATCTGTTTCTTACACACCCCAAAATCGCCTCTTTTTAGCATCGAATCGATGTATTTTGTCCATTCTGATGATCGCATTAGCGCATTAATACGTAACACCACTGTCATAAGTAACGTTATCCTATGGACTGCTTACTACGCATCAATAATGTGACCCTACACAAAAAGGTTTCGCCATATCTGAGGATTATCAAAGCGATGATGATAATGCAAACTAGACAAAAACAAAGAACAGGCTGGATACCGAGTTGAAAGTGTACACCTTAAAGAAATTACCACCAAATATTTACAACAATGTTTACTTCCGTATGACATCACTACCGGTGACCGACTTTTACAAAATTGACGTGTTCACTGACAACTTTACGCGGGATTTCCAGAGGAGGAATTTCGTTGATTGAGGGATCGTTAATTCATAACTGTGTCACGTAAGTAATCAGAAATATTCTGACCATCTGCGTAGTGTTATTGCTGACTTGTGATAACACCAGGGACATAATAAGTAACACCAAAAACATTTAGCTTCATCTAACCCTAACTTAGAATGTTTTTTTAAGTAATATAAATTTAAGTGTTAATATGATTAAAGAGTTGTAATGTCAATGTCACAAGACATGTTTAACCAACTTTTTTTTCAGTTGAATCAAAAACAATTTTCTTCATGGAAGACAGGAATTGATATGATAAGAGTGCATTGAATTTCATTTACCTACTTTCTATTTAAAGATAGATACATCTTACACCTAATTAAACAAATGGTTACACCAAGGACAGGAATCCTTTAGACAGGCATGCTTTGGTTATTTTTTATTATTTGAATATAGAAAAATAGAGGAAACTGATGTTTATTTTAAAGATTCTAATCTCATTAGTAAAATATCATGTATATGACATAAAATCTGAAATATGTTCACTGAAAAGTGCATTCAGTGTCAGTGACAGTGATATTTCAACAATTTCAGACTATATACAACTACACCACAAGCAAATAAAGCACTGTCAAGGTAAATATTCGATGTTAAATTGGTTCCCCACTGAAATATTAGGGATGAAATTTGAGGGCTCAAACTATATGAAGGATAGACATTACTGACATAAAAAGGGTAGATATTTTGATAATGACCCATATCCGTTGCGAGCTTTAGTATTCATGGAATTTCTGTTTTTGTATTTATATGATTTCTATTTTCGCATATTGATATGACTTCATTTTTATCTTTGACTGCTCTGATAATATGCGTTCTAGTAGCTGTCCATCCTTCAGAAATAGAGTTATTTTGGCCTTCGCAGTTGCATCTCTTGGCTTTAGGAGATGTACGACAGATAGCAGATCTAACTGCAATTCCTGTTTAACCGAGCCAGGGCTGGGGAATGGTCTTGACACTCCAGTTACAAGTGATCAGTAGATTTAGGATTTAGGATTACAAGCTGGACATATCTTGTCATAGTGCTTTTTGTGACCGAGTTTGAGGCGTGACATGGCTATTTCAACTTTCCTTTCATTTGAGTATGAGAATAGCTTTTGGTGGATCTTGGGTTGAATATTGTGTAGCCATCTGCTGATATTACTTGCGTCCCACTAGGCTTGCCATCTTTGGGCTATGGAGGCTTTGATTTTGCTTTTTATCTCTAGTTTACTAAAGGGATTAGGCTGTATTTCCGCTTTGTCTAGGGCTAGTTTCGCCCTAATTTATGTCCATGAATATCTATGTGAGACGGGATCCAACACATGTACAGCTCCTCCTGTTGATCTTGGCCCAAAAGCTTTGTATATTCGTACATAATATTATTGACCGTGATTGGCCTGGAGTTGGAGTTTCTGCCGCCGATGGCTTGAAATGCACTTAACGAGTCTGATGGGATGACTCCTTTGCTTCCCGTAGTTCCCGTATGCATGATGAATTGCCTCCAATTCAGCAGTGAATACTGACAGACCATCAGGCAGGCGAACCGATGTCCTTGGGGTTTGGAGCTATGGTTATGGATCCCGTAACCAGCAGTGTTGTTGATAGGAATCTTGGATCCATCAGTGTATAAATGGGCCCAGCTGTCCCAGGTTGTTTGAATTTTAGTTATAGCTACTGATCGTAGTGGGATTGTTTTTTTAGTGACTTCTGATGTTAATGTTTCTACTTGTAGTGCTTCTAGTAAAGTGCCTGTTGTTACACCTGTGGCTAGCATTAGGGCTTTGTATTGTATTCTGTCGAGGTGGCTCAAGACAGTATTTGATGCTGAGTGAAAGGCCTCACAACCATAGTCTATTTTTGATTTGATGAGTTATTTGTAGAGGCTTTGTAAAGGGATGGACTTATAATGCTGCCTTGTAGCGTACCATTGTCCAATGACAAAGGATCAGATTGATTGTTCCTATTTTAACTGATAGCGACCTGTCCTGCAAGAAGCTGTCTATGAAGTTTGCTATGTTCCTTCTACTCCATTTTGTGTTAGTTTTGTGAGGAGTTCGTCATAAAACACCATGTTGAAGGCTGTCGATAACCATTGTCATGACATTGTCCATTATATATCATTGATCTGTGGAAATGTAAAGCCAATAAAATAAATGAGACGACCACTGCTGTCTATCACTCAATCAGCAGGAGAAGAGGCGACCCAGACATGGAATGCATGAACCGGTTGAGTGACTTCTTTCTATCAGCGTGACAGGGGTACCCAGAGAGACAGAAAGCATAAAAATTCCTAAAGATATCCTATCTACATGGGATTAAGTATCCACAAACAATTTCCTCTGATAATAAACTCATACCTTTGATATCCCCAAGGAGCAATAAATCAGAGACCCTAGTGCGATTCTGTCTACGTGGTAACACCAGGTGATTATTAAGATCACAAATTCTATCAACACCCGGAAAATATGGTAGTTTATATTCATTTCAATATCCTCATGTAATTAAATGTGTTTGTGGTGGAGACATGTATTCTCAGAAACTACTGTGGTTAGCTCATCCGAGATATACTTATCAAGACTGGGTTATTTATTCCAGAGAAGGGGCTTTTGTATGTATTAATTTCACATTTAATCAGTTTTTTTTCTGATGACATAAAGCAGCCCAAGAGCCTACCTCTTCGTAAGGCTTCGAAATTCTAATGTGATAATGTTGTTTTCTCGTTAAATATTTAGTATATATTAGTGTCACAATCTTTTCCATATCTAACATACATAGTATGCATTATTTGATAGCATACAAGACACGTCTGTTGCACGGTAGTATTTAATATGACTACTCTTACACACTCTGCATGGCTCCAATTCAAAACAATTGTCATCACAGTTAATAGTGAGTGAGTGAGAGAAATTTAACGTCACATCGGCAATATTTCAGCCATATCGTGACGAAACAGTTATATTAATTATATTTTTATTTAATTAAAAAGCTGTCAACGATGGACAGTAAGATAACTAGAGTATCACAGTTTCGATTTTAAAACTTGTTGAGAACAGTTAAAAGAATACATTTTCATTCAACAATACAATATAAAAAAGGGCTATAGATCACCAGCAGCCAAATTGAGGCCACCTCACTAGGGACTGTGGGGACTTACATTACTTTTGCTACCTGCATGGCTCCCCAGCAGGATTTACACCAACACTTCAGCTGCTGGTGATGGGATGCAATTAAGCCAACAATTAAAATAAACAAATATACTACGTTTAAAACCGATGTAAGAATAAATGTACTTGGAATGATGTGGTCTTACATATCCTCTTAGGGGACAATAATTTTACGCTACATGTACTTCAACCCCCTTTGAGCATATAGCCACTAACAATCTAAGTTACATATTATACAGTACCAAATATAAAATATAGCTATGTACACAATTCAAAATTTATCAATAAGTTCAATTTCTTTAAAAAAAGCCTAAAATTAAATGAGAATTGATTCTATTAAAAAGATCAGTCATTGATGATGATTTGAAATATTTATCCCTTGTGATGGAAAAATCAATACAGTCAAGCAGGACATGCTTGACCGTGATTCTTTCATCACAAGGGATGCAGAATGGAGGATCCTCACCTTTTAAAATATATTCTTGAGTATATCGTGAATGGCCAATACGACATCGTCGTATTATGACCTCTTCAAATCTGGACTGACAGCCAAAGTAGGTGTAGCCAATAGTTGGTTTAAGTTCATGTAATTTATTTATACCTACTTGAGTGTCCCACTTCTTTTGCATAAGATCATGGATGTAAGATCTAATCACGGGTTTATAATCAGTGTATGGTATAAGAAGTGGTGTCACAGATTTGTTGAGTGCTACTTTAGCAGCAGCATCGGCCATTGTATTACCAATGATACCAACATGGCTTGGTAACCAACAAAAGGCGATGTCGTACTGGCCAGTAGCAAGATCATTATGTAGTTCAATTATTTCATGTAAAAGTGGATGTTGACAAGATATGTTATTAATTGCCTGAAGACAGGAAAGTGAATCAGTAAAGATAATGAACCGTTTATGTTTAGATTGGGTATTTATATATTTGAGAGCAGTTAATATTGCCTGTGATTCTGCTGTAAAAAGTGAAGAGTCATCTGGTAATAAGAAAAACTAAACAATGCAGAAGTTTAGGATTGGTGTTATGCTTTTGAGAAATCCTTTCACAACATCTGTACAAAAATTTCATTTCAATAAAAT